GGCCCTCGCAAGGTTGTACTCATCGTCTGTGGCATCCTCATCCTGCTTGGTGAGGAGTGTCAGGAGGACGGGAACAACCTCGTTGGCGGCAACACGGGCGAAGTTGTAGAACGATCGCATCTGGTCGGAGCTCTCAACTGAAGCATTTTCGTCTTCAATGGCGATTTCCTCCTCGCACACGGTGCTCCAGAACTCAACGGCCAGCTTGGCAACATCTTCGTCAGGGTTCTTCATGCCGAGAATGGTCAGGCCAAAGAGGGCCTTCTCCATGTAGAATCGCATGTTGTCATAGTAGATACCCATGATTCTGTTCAGGCAACCGAAAGCGCCCTGCTGGATTCGGGTGTCGTCGGCTTGGGTGGCCTCGCAAACAACCTGCATGATGTAGTTTCGCTCGCCCTCATTCTTGAAGTTGTTGGCAACGAACTCGAGCGAATCGCCGAGAGCGGTGATGGCGGCCAAGCGAACCTCGTTGTTGGTTTCCTCCTTACGAGCACCCTGAACGACGGCGGTCAAAATAGCGTTGGAGTGGGCTATCAGGGCGAGGCGCAGCGCACTGTCTTGGCTCTCGCAGATGTATCCTATCGTGGTGAGCGAGGCCTGCTTCTGGTGAGGTTGTCCTTCGCTGACGTTCTTGACGAGGACGGGCATGAGGTCGTTCCATTGGTTAAGGGGAAGTTCAATAGTGGCGATGGAGGAGATAACCTGGGCGGCAGCTTGGCCAGCCTGGGCGTTAGACGAGGCCAGAGTCTGCAGCGTCAACTCCTTGACCCTCGATTTCGTCTCCTCATCGGTCTGTTGCACCCATTTCGCCTGTAGCTCTTGCTGGCGAGCAAAATCGCGGGCTGTGAATGCGTTTTTCAGAGCGATACCAGCGGCGGCTCGGATAGAACCGTCGGCTTGCTCATCTGCGAGGGCCTGGACAAGGGTGGCAAGGTAGAGTGGCTAAAGGAGACGAAGCTGTTAGTTTTCTCGGCGCGGACAAAGCTTCAAGCAGATAGACCGGTCGGTCGCGAGGGGAGAACATACGAAGTTGTTTGAAGCCGCTTGTGTGAGCTGCTCCTCAGCAGCGTGTCGGAGGTTCGCGTCTGTTTTCCCATGACAATCAGTATGAGGCTTCCTTTTGGCAAGGCGGTGCGGCAAGAGCCTGGCAGAAAAGGGGACAAGCAATCTCACCTGGTGACAGCGAGTTAGCGAGCACCTGGTTAATTTCGGAGCCCGACATATTTGCGGTAGGTTGAGCGTCTCGTCATGCGGTTGCAATGCCAGAAACGAAGTGCACGTGTAGAAAGCACAAAGGGCGGAGTGATGCGGTAAGAGAGAGTGGGGGGTCCTCGAAAAAGCTTGGGGGGGAGGAGAGGTCGTGGTGGAAACAAAAGGAAACGTAGTAAAACGGTCAAGAGTCAAGCCCGCTGCGAAGAGGGGGAAAGTTTCGATCGAAGGATGGAAAGGTCAAGGAGGCCCACGAGGAAGAAAAAATAGTGAGTGATTCCTCGGATCGACTGGTTGGATCGAGCAGGTGAGAAGTTGAAAAGTGTCAACGGGTGTTCCCAAGGGGTTCAAAGGTGGAGGTACATGTTATTTAGGGGGGGTAGGGCCCTGGTCAAGATGCTCTCAATCTTATTAGTGGGTGCCAGTCAAACTTTCAGCAGCCTCCTCTCCCTAAGCTGGGTGCTAGCAGCAGCCCGCCTACAGGTGCTATTCACGCAGGCAAACCGGGCAGATCAAGCCAATTCCAGGCCCGAACTCGAGCACGGCCAACTCCTGTAGGATAGACCACGCCAATAACCATCTCTGTTTTGTCTCTGACCTGCATCTCTGTCTCTGCTCAGATTTTCCTCGCTGCGAAAAGTGGGGAGCGAGCTCGAGCAGCCTGGACACCACCGGCTGGAATTATTCCTACAGCAGGTGCGGTAAGGCTTCCATGTAGCCTGCTGGCGGCGGTGGCGGCGGTACATTGGGGCGAGGTAGCGACCGACGAGTCAGTACCTGGCCTCCCACAGGGCAGTGCTGGGGCCTTGCCTGAGCGACGGTGCAGCACAAGGGCCCGATATCATCTGCACGGCAGTGTCTGGAAACGTTCGCCAGCTCTGCCTGTCCTATCAGATGTACTGCTCTCCATTCTCCTGCTGGGGGAAACCCCCTCTCTCCGAACTGCAAAGGCCGTGACACCAATTAGACTTTGCACCGCACCTTAGGGCTATGCTGGGTATCTGCCATGGGTGGACGCGTTGCATCCAGCGGCAGTCGGGAACAGGTTCCAGTTTTCACTGCTCCACAGCTGCAGTGGCCCTGGCGAATCACGTCCCACGCGATTTCGGAGTCGTGGCTTCCCATGTACCTTTTATCGTCCGCTACTCTGCAGCCAGGTACCCGTCCGTGCAGTGTGCGAAATCCCCCTCACTTGTCCGCTCACTGTTTGGATGACGCAGATGGCCCATTCCGCCTGGCTGCCTTACTTGCATCTGCCTGAAGGGAGAAGGGGGATGCATGAAAACGCTCGCACTGTCACAGACAAAGTTAGCCGTGGCATGCCAGTGACATATATTGGCAGATATTATAGTTCTCTCCCGATCGTGGGTGAGCAGCTTCGCATTCAGCCATCCATTCACCAAGCCCTCAAAAGGCCGGCGGGACTGGACTTGCTGCTTTTTTCTTTTATTTGTTTTCCCTCTCTTGACCGAAGTAAATACCTATTGCCTCGTCCAGTAACCCCACCTTCTTCCACAGCAACCATCCCGCCCTATTCCCTTCTGGTGAGTTTGCCAATTTCACCGCACCTCTTTAGCCTATTGCCAGCAACCCCAGGGGCCTCAGCGCCTATCATTGTCTTGCTATGCGAGGCAGGTCATCTCCCTCCTCCTAGAAATAGAGTACCTTAGCTTTGCAGCAATGATTCAATGCTGCAAGTTGAACCAGCGAGTCAGCCTTCACAGACTCTCACACTCTGTCCCAGTCACGTGAAATTTTTTCCATTTCGCTGCCTGCCTTGTAACGTCTAAATAGCGCCCCAGTGCACTGTGCCTACCACCTTCAAGTTATGGACTTCGCATTCTTTAGGTCTTGAAAATGAGAGAATCAATAATATCTAACCGTGCTCTATCTTGATATTTTGTCGTTTTTTACACTGTCTTTTTCTTCTTGGAATATGCAGGTAGCTCTGGTTGATGACCAGTTTCCCCACTACCATCAGCCAGGCATCACATGCTTGTACATTCCACTCACTCGATACACCCAGTGTCTGCCTTACAGCCCCTCAACTCGGACCTCCAGACTGATAGCTACGTAGTATGGCGGGGTTCCCTTTTTCGGGCCGTCCAGGACCAAAACGCTATGCTGATCCCCCACCACTTCGTGATCGCTTCCGGAATGCCTGGTTGTTTCATGGCCCTGCATTGTAGATAAGTCACAGATGAGCGCTATGACCTGTGTCGATTCTGTACTCCCTGCAATATCTGACATCCGTCGTGACGCCCAGGGTCTTAAGGATGTCCGCAAGCGCTGAGATGAGATAGTTGCCATGGTCGTCTGTGAAACTCCTTGCTATCTATTTTGTGAGTGCCATCGAAAATGGGGGGCATATCCGATCTGATTTATTATCTACCTACTTTCAGCAGTCGGCACTCCCATGGGAGCTGTGAGTTGAATGAGATATGGTTCTCGATGCTAGTCTTGACTACCTCACAAACCTGGCGAACAAACCTAGTCGTAATGTTATGGGATAGCAATGGTGACTCCTGTTGCTACTATGACGAGGAAAAGTTGTATCACCTGATCCGGAGGGGAAAAGCGAGGTCTCATGTATCGGCATCTTTACATGAAACTTGAGGGAAGTACAAAATGCTCTTAAACTCGAGTGCGTCTCCCTTTTTTCCCTTTTCCCTCTTCTTCTTCTTCTTCTTCTTCTTTTTTCTTCCTTGGCAAGACAGGATATAGAGAGGTGACCAGGAGAAGGTACGGTCTTTACAATATAACATAGATATCAGCAAGGGAATATTGCGGAAACGTGAACCAAATGCAACCCAAGTCGACCTCCTCAAGCTACGTTGAACAAATATACCTAACTCTGAATAGCGCTATTATGCAATATCCCAAGGACTAACAATACAGTTCAGGCATGTGTGTGTAATGAAAGACTAGGCAGAAGAGAAAACACGGCAGACGCGTAAACGCGTGGCATCAGGCTTCAGCTGAGAAACTGGCCCGATTGGTCCAAAGGGATGGTTACAATCTCGCATCTCTAGAAAGAAATCAGCAAAATCACCACCCTGAAAATGGGAATACTGTGATACTGGTCACACGTTGCAATGCGGACCGTCGGCCACATTTCCCGTTGTACGACAACACCAAAAGCCACGCAAGTGGGTGACATGAGAAATGAGACATCTAAGGGAAGAGTTAGCTATTAATTAACTACTTTCTGCAAGAGATAGAGAATTTTAGAAGTATAAAATAGAAGAAAGGAATAATAAATACAGAATATTCTATATTATTAGGACTTAATAGTCTGATAATACCGGTTGCAGACTTAGGAATAAGCAGCTTATTGTTTGAGCGTCTCAATTTCAATGTCACCCACTTGCCATGGCTCTTGCACCAGTGATGGCTCTGTGCTCACAAATGCGGAGATTCATCTATTAAGTCAAACGAATACCTAAGAATATAAAAATAGAAGAAAAGAAAATAGGAAAACAGAAACAGGAGATCTCGAGCATTTCCAAAAAACTATTTCTGTTCATAATTCGTAACTAATTCGTAGCTGTTGGTACAGACAGCTTCGCTCCCGAGATTCTATACACAAAATTCAACGTCCTCCCCGTCCTATAATAATGCCGTTGCTGTGCTCTGGTGTATCGTAACTCGTTACTCTGCATATGCTGGTATCACACATCGTCAAAAATGTATATCCCATGTCCGCATGCATGCAGACCCCATGAGCTGGATGCCGTGCCTAATAGCCCCCCTTGATCAAAAATCCACTACCCAACAGATTAAGTCTCTCATCGGATGATCTCACGGACCGGGCGTCCGTTTTCGTAAATAATCTCGCGTTCCCTGACATGCTCTTCATCCCATGCCTCGTAGGGATGGGTGTGGTAGTGATGGGCATGGTGTGAGTGGTGATGTTGACGGCGAGACTCGCGGTCCCACTCGAGCTCACGAACCCGGTCTTCTCGGTGTCGGCGGATATCCTCCGACAACTCTGTGAGCTGAAGCACGTCGTCCTAGAGCGCTGTCAGCATACATCCAAGCCCCGAGGGGGAGGGAGGGGACAGCAAGCACTTACATATTTGAGGTAGTCCATAATGTAGAAAAATCCAGGGCTGTCTTCGTACTCGTAGCCCATGTACTCGATTGCACTCCTGGAAACCAAGTCTTTGCTAATCTCAGTCCACATCTCCCTCTTGGGTTGCGGCGTCTTGGTTCTGACGACATCGACGGTGCGCTCGAAATCAACCTCCCGCTCACGCTCGTAGACCTTGTCCTTCTTCTCCGGCGACGGTTTGCGGGGAATGGGGTCGCCGTCCCTTTCGGGGATGAATTGCGTTCGCCTGACGCCGCTGTACTTGGACCACTGGGTATCAGTAGATCCGCCACCGACGCCGTCCATGCGCACGCGCTCGGTGCCAGGAGGGACGTCGACAATCGTCCAGTCCTTTGTGGCCCCATGCCATGCCTCGCCCATGCGTCCTCGCGAGTCAATCTTGGACGACAGGAACTCGCCCTCCTCGTCGATTGGGGTGTGGAGAGGGCCAGCCGAGTGGGCGCGAGGCCGGGCTTTTTCCTTGTACACTACGAGCTCGTCCTTGCCTGATCGGCGCTCGCGGCTCCTGGATCGATTGCGGTCTCTGGTGGTCACGTCGACGGCTGTTCGGTTCTTTGATAATGAAATGTCGATATCAGTTTCCCGTTCCCGGACGAATGAACGGCGGCGAGGAAGCGGGCTTGGGGGAGCTGCTTTAACAACACCTACATCTTGTTAGTTGAAATGGCCTATGATATCTCAGGACAAGAAGAACATACCATGATCGATTCCTCGGTAGTGCGTAATAACATCTCTCTCGATGGTGGGCGCACGGATCTTGGAAGGCGGGGCCTCCTCAGACGAGCTGCTGCTGGATGACGACGACGACGCCTCGCGCCTCTTGTCAACTATGCGGATGCGGTCTCGCTGTACCGGGGAGGGCGATCTGGGGCGCCGCTCGACATAGCGAACCATCTGGGGCTTGGGGGCGGGGGAAGGTGAGACCTTTCGCACCCGCTCCTTTTCAACGTATCTGGTGCGCGACTTGGTGCGCTCGTGCTCGTGTGCGTGCGTCGACTCACTTCGCGGGCGGCGGACGAGCACCTCTTCGTATCTGGGGCTCGGGCTCCGGCGATGTCTGTCGATGGTCTCAACCTCACGGCTTCTAAGAACTACAGGGCCTGCCTCGGGGCGACGAGCCTCCTCTCGCAGGAAGGACACGCCCCGCTCTCTGGGCGGGCTTCGGGTCACGACCCGACGGCGAAACTCCTCCTCAAACTCGGGAGCCGAGCGGCGAGGACTGGGGTAGTAGTCATGTTCCTCGAAATCATTGTTGCGGCCCATCTTGACGGCGTTTGGGGAGGTGAAGTTGCGGGAAGAGCAAGGCTGGCTGCTCGGATGTGGGTGTACAACAGTGTGTGTGGTGCGCCAGCCGGGATGACGTCAAGGCCCGGGCGGAAGATCGCAGCGACTGATCAATGCAGTAAAACGCTGAATGTGCCAGACGCTGGCTTTGAAACTCACAGAATGCCGCAATGTGAGAATAAAAAAAGACAAGTTTCAAATGATGCGCAGAATTAAAATTCCCTGCGAGATCTAGTCTGCGCCAGCGTTTCGGGCTGACGTGCTGGAGGCTGGTAAAACAGCTGAGGTGAGGGGTAGTGACGGCTGGATATGACGGTCTTGGTGTGTGTGACCGTGATCTCGAGTTTGCAGATGACTGAAGCCCTGCTCCTGCACCTGACTCGGGAGAAAGGCGCACGTGTACCTGGGAACACCTACTCTCGACTCTTGCTCAGTATGACCAAACAGGAACTGAAAACCTATCTGTGGGCGGAACGAGGGCGGCTGGTAGGAGGATGTGGGATCCAGGCTGAGAGGGGAGAGTTGGAGGAAGAAGTCAAACGCTACAGCACAGGGAGGAAACTGGCGAGAAATATGATATGGGAGGGCCAGGGATGTTCTCGTCAAGCAAGCTTTTACCTGATTGACGGCCTTATGTGGGAAACCTCGGGCAGAGTGGGAAGGCGATGACAGCCCAATGCAATCACCAGACCCTTGTCAGCAAGCACCCGTTGGTCTCAGGAGTCAGGCGTCAGCGGTCTGGAATCCAATCAGAGGGGCTGCGGCGTGGGCTAGGGAATACGTAGGCGAGAAGCAGCAAATGGAGCAGCATGGGGCAGTTCAATGCTAGCAGACGAGGACTGGCGCATGCTAAAATAGATGGCAGACCAGGCGAGCCAGAGGCAGACCCCGGAACCTCGAGCGAGACACCTATCAGACTCCATGACGACGATGCAAGTAAGCGCGCGTGTCTGTCTGTCTCACTGCAGCAGCGTGGGCCAGCGGCCTGCAGCTCATTCTCCCAGCCGGCGGTCTGGCCTGCAGCCCGTCTCGTCTGTCCCATCGGCACCGCCCTGCCAGTGCCTTGATTCGATTCTGGGGAGAGTGGCAGTTGACGCAATGCTGCAGCCCGCAGTCGCAGCAGCCCAACCAGCCTCCCGCCCGCCGAGTTTTTCGATGGATTCGAGCGGGTATCACTGGGCAGCTAGACTAAGCTGAACTGAACCCCCACCTACCCGACCAGGCATGGCGCAGGCGCTGCTTGGGCACGCATTGTTGCTTTGTGTGGTGATGCTGGTGGGAATCGTCAGTCGGCACGGTGGGCGGAGGGCGGGATTGTCTCATGGCGATCCCCAGAACACGACGTTGCCTGGATGACGGGCATGGACATACGTATGTGATTGCTCTCTTCCCCCAGAGACAGAAACCACCGGAATGGGCCTGTCGTGGCCTGTGCTGCTTTCGACGCCCAAGGCAACTAGCTGACAACCACCCCAGCAAGCAACAATGTGCTCCCACCGCTAGACAAAGTCTAACCGCCGCTGACACCCAGATACAGTTCACCGGGTTTCCCCTTCAACCCGCTCCGAAACTCAACTTTAATATCAAGTGTTAAGAATTGGAGGGGACGGCATATGACAGGTCTGGCAATGCCCTCACATCACGGAAAACCACATGTACGTCATTCCTCAACCCTCCTCCGTCTTGGGTGGCGGGATAAAAGCAGCGCTGGAAGGTTCCCTGCCCACAACACGAGCACCAGCTTGGGGTGGGCTGGGGGGCTTTGGAGGCCTTTTCGAAGCATTTCCATTCATGTAATGCCTAAAGCTGCAACTGCCGGATCCATGTAAACCTAAGTAGCCTCCTATGACGCAGTGGGTGTGCTAGCATGTGATGCTGAGCGCATAAAATCAAGATGCTTCGACGCAATCCACCACGTAATACACAGCCTTTAGACGGTATAGGCGCTTTGATATAGAACACGGATATCTTAACCGAGGAAATTAGTTCTAGAAGCCTCCTGGAAAGCTGTGGTGCTACAGTCCACGTTCGTCTAGGCCATCAAGTGGGTGACATGAGAAATGAGACACCTAATGGAAGAGTTATTCGAAATATGCTACTTTCCGTGATAAATAAGTAGAGAAATTCAGTTGTATAAAAGAAAACCGTAACAATATGTACTATATTGTCTCAAGTATATATTATTAGCAATCAATAATCTAATTATACTGCTCGCAGGCTTGACAATAAGCAGCTTAATGTTTGAGTGTCTCAATTTCAATGTCACCCACCTGGCCATGTCCTAAATCCGAGCAGGTGGGCACGATGGTAATATTACAAGGACACAACATTTGCACCGCTAGAGATGTGAGAAAAAATGTATGATTTTCTAGGAATGGGCATTTAAAAACTTCTGCCACCTATACAGGAACTCCCCCTATACCTAATACCCAATGAAACAGCATAAACGTCATGAGTAGAATGGTTGCAACTGGCTGTGCATGTCAAGTTATTGCCAGTGAAGCCCACGCTTCGTGTCCTTGGCTGCCAGCCCAGTCAATCTTTCGCCTGGCTTTGGATACTCAGGTCGACCTCCCAGCATATCGACAGTGCTTCGCATGTCAAGCCAGTACGCGCTCTTGGGTCGCCGGTTGGGCCAGTCGGTGTCATTCTCCTCCAACTCAACCATCGGAGTGAATGCGACCTCGGAGCCCTTGATGCCAATCACGAATGTACTCTCTGGGTCCTTCTTGATGTGGTTGGGGCTGTTCTTACCAAAAGTTTCCAGGTGCTGGATGCACTTGATTGCCAGTCTGACAGCTCGGCAGCGATCCATAGGAGAAGGAACACCGCCCTGCTGCACATGGCCAGGAATACTTTCTCGGCTCTCAAACCTATCATGGGCTTCTTCGCGGATAATGTCCGCGATGAGCTTGGCATGGTACACCTTACTGGCCTTCTCGTTGACTAGGATGAGACGTCCCGCACGGGACTGGCCCTTGTCATGTTCGAACACATGTTTCAGGTGGTTCACATCAGCATTCAGCATCTCAAGACTGATTCCTTCCTCAGGGGTGTACACGGCTGAGGCGCCGACACCCAACCCGCTGAGTGTAGCAACGTAGCCTGAACGACCGCCTTGTGTCTCAATAACGAACACTCGTCGGCGCGTTGCAGATGCAGATTGCTTAATCTTGTCACAGTAGTTGACCAGCTCGTTGAGGCAGGTGTCTGATCCAAGCGAATACTCCGTTCCCGGGACATTGTTAGAAATAGTGGCAGGGAGGAGCGCCATGGGGATGCACAGAGAGGGGAACTCATCTCTGGCTTTCCGGAGCTGAGAGATGGAGTGGAACGCCTCGAAACCACCGATTAGGAACAGTGCATCAAATCGGTACTGTTCAATCAGGTTTGCGATCAGCTCCATGCCGGATTCTGAGGGGAGTTCTCGGTTGGTTCCGATCTCAGAACCTCCCTTGCTTGCCCAGCCATCGACCTCCAGCCAGTTGAAAGGTCGAACTGCTCCCACGGGCTTGTCTCCGTGGTGTCGAGCGAATCCAGCGAAACCGTTGTGGATGGCAATCGGTTCATGGCCCCGGGATGTACAGTAAGCAACGGCTGCACGAACAGCAGCATTCATACCACCAGCAGGTGCACCGACATTGATAAAGCCGATTCTCATTCTCTGTCACCAGGTCAGCACAACACCTCTCGGCCTCTTTCCAGTTTCTCGGGGTTTACAAACCTTGTCCTGAGGCAATTTGTTGTCTTCCACCAACACGTTAGTGGTGGTTAGGTATGACCTGTACTGGTCAGCAAACTCGGTGTCTCTCAGGCCCATTGCCTTCTCGAAGTCTTTGGCATCGACAGCTTTGGAGAGTTCCTTTGTTTCAGCCACAGCCTTCATCAAAGGCTTTCGAACAATCTTGTTCTCGTTAATAGCGATAAAGGGCGTCTCTGTCTCAGGTGTAGCTTCAAGGACAGCACGGACGGCTTCCACACCCTGGAGGGTACCGAGTGTTCGGTCATAGGAAACGGCGGTACCACCACGCTGGACATGGCCGAGTGTGGTGATACGGGTATCAAGAGCAAGTCCACCCTCGCTCTTGTCTGCCAACAAATCCTTGATTTCCTCTGGCGTGATCTTGGTACCATCCTTGTCGCGAGCACCCTCTGCGACGATGACAATCGTCTTTCGCTTGCCGAGCTCGCGATGCTTTTTTGATGTATAATTTTAGCCGTCGTTCCACGAGCATTCCAAATTACGGGGGTTGAATCTTACCCTTCTAACAACGTTGGACATGTCTGCCTTCCAGTCACGGTCTCTGGGTCGTTCTGGAATGAAGACAAAGTCTGCACCTGTAGCCACACCCGCCATCAAAGCCAACCACCCACAATGACGTCCCATCACCTCGATAACGAAAGCTCGAGAATGCGACGAGGCAGTGGCTTCGATGTAATCAACCATCTCGCAGATTCGGGCAAGGGCTGAGTAACATCCAATGGTTGCATCGGTTCCTGAAAGGTCATTGTCGATTGATCCGACCAAGCCGACAATGTTGAGGTGCTGGTAGGGGCCAATCTGCTCCTTGGTCAGCTGCCCATTGGCAACCAGCTCCTCCAGCAGAGAAGGCCACTCGGCACGGAACTTGTCGGCACCGGTGAGGGAACCGTCACCACCGCAGATGATCAGGGCATCGATTCCGTGGAGGATCATGTTTTTGGCAGCAACCAATCGGCCGGGGCGTTCGTAGAAGGCCATGCATCGCGCTGTGCCAATTAGAGTGCCACCTTCAGAGAGCCAGCCACGGACATCGTTCCATTGCATCTTCTTGATGAGGTCTCCACCCTGGACCAGCCCTTCGTAGCCCTCGTAGACACAGTAGGCGTCGCAGCCCATGTGGATGGCCATGCGCACGACAGCACGCACGACAGCGTTCATGCCTGGGGAGTCGCCTCCCGAGGTCATGACGGCAATCTTCTTCTTCGGTGCCGCCATCGTGACGGTTGAGTCGAGGAGGATAGGGCTCACCCGTCTGGATGCTCGAATGCCAAGGCGGAGGTGAGGAGAGGTTCGGTAGAGGTCGGTAAAGATACGCGCGTAGGGATCCTGATACGCAGGGAGGGGGGAGAGATATTGGTCGGCTGGGCGAATGGAAGGGAGAGAAAAGGCAATACCTCAGCTGGAGGGCAGAGGTATTTAAACGTTAATGGATGTTGCCCAGACAGGTGGGAAGTTACAGAACGGCAGGGCCAAAATTAGGTACGTAACTGCGCAAGGCAGGGAATGTGCAAGAAATGAGCTGAGCCCAGAGTCAGGTTTACACAAGTACGGACCGAGATGAGATACACGATGCTTTGCAGCTCCCGCACATGCTAGACTACGGCACGGGGTCTCTGCAACACTCTCAAGCAAGGGTTGGAGCAAGGAAGTCGGGCATCCAGGTGCAGGCCAATAGCGATACCTATATCCCCCTCTGCCAGTAATAATTTGATGTCCTGGACATGTGCAGCGACCTACGTAATGAGGGGGAGCTCTTATCGCTTATCGAGGGGCGGGGATGCCCCAATTAACAAAACTTTTTACTCTGCGCTATTGGAATCCGCAAAGTCTTAGCAATGGGATGAATTAATTAGACCGAGAGGGCAACAGTTGACCGTGACCTTATCAACGAGCCTTCTGAAGCTGCACAAAGTAGTAGCGTAGACACTACAATCTCTGTCGACGCAGCAGCAACGCCTCACCTCCTTGCAGAATCATTGAACCACCCAATGTCTCTCCAATAAGCTCAGCACTAGGTACATGGGCATGTAGGAGCCAATTAGGTTCACGGGGAAGGATCAGCCCATTCCCGACTATGCCGTCAGTGGGGGATCAGACAACGAGGCGAGCATTGCCCACATGGATTGTGTGTTTGCACCATAACTTACGGCCCAAGATGACGGGAACAAGCATCGATCGAGCAGACCATAATATAGGGGCCTATCAGCCGGAGAGAAATGCACGGGTTTCCGGTCGCTAAATTGATCCCATCGTTATGCAAGATCACCCTACAACCTTGACCTTGTGCCCATGAGGCTCCCTGTCATGACCCATGGATGGGTGGTGTGAGAAGTGACACCAGTAGGAGCACGCACCCCCTATAAGAGACAGCCCGTGATCCCTTTGCCCGGTCAGCCTGTCTTAGCTGCGTGGCAGGCCACAACCTCGAAATCGAACCATGTAATCAAAACACGCTTTAATTACGGTGTTTTTGAGTCACTTTGTGCGAGAGAGGCAATAGGGGAGCAGTGTCAAGGCTAACGTTAGCGTTAACAGGACCGAGGGAGTTATGTATGTTATTGGTATTAGCAATGACCTGCGGCGTCTCTACACTATTAGGCACATTGATTGCCTTAAGTACATAATGGATAAGGAGTACACTTTCCATCCCACAATATTTCCAATGATAATCCAACAATAACATAGCTCTTTGGTAGAGCCGAGGCTTCGCTCAATCGGGTGACAGCTGCAAGAAAGATGCACGCATCATCCAGCTCCTCTACCGCTAGGATTGGAAGTGTGCACGAAAGTGACCACACTTCAGCTATAGTGGGGTAATGAATGGATTTCGAACGGCCCGATCTTGAGCAACTTGGAGAACAAACGGAAGCTTTAGTTGCAAGCTGTGGCTTGGTTCTCCGCCACAGCTTGGCTTGACCACATTATGTAATCACAGATCGCGGTTGGCTCCACCGCGATTGACAGCTGTGAAGGTGCGACTGCGCTGCTCCATACACGAGCTTATTGGCAAGCTTCCAAGCTCCAATTCCTGTCGCGTGACTGCATTCTCAAACTTATGCCAGGCTGACAGACGTCGGCTGCAGAGGCTTGCCCACCATGGCCTCTGAAGAGAGCACCCCGTTGTCTCTGCGGCCTGTACCAGTAGCCGACCGAAAGCCCAAGAACCTCGCCGAGTTCATTGCCCGGATAAACGCCCAGCCCGGAGGATTCCGAGGTCTTACAGAGACCAAGCTTCGAGAGGAGGCCGTCGAACTAGAAAATGGAAACAGTACCGCTGAGGATGACGATGTGGACATGTCCGACGGTGAGGGCGAGGACGAGGTTGAGGAACAGGAAGCACAGACGATAGATCCGGTGCAGGTGCGCAACGAGGTTCTCGCAGAAATCCAGTATGTGCCAATCCAATATGAAATTCCATAGCTATCTGTTCAAACTAGTCACTGACTTTCCATTTACGAGTAGACAGGCATCTACATGGGCCGGCACGATTCTGGAGACTCTATCCCTCCTCCTCTCTAAACAGAACCCTACGCTTGCCAGCATGACGCTCTCGAAACAGCTGCGTGAGATGACCGGTATCGGAACTTTAGGAGCCAGCCGCTTGGATGAGCCCAACATCACACCAGCACAGGAAAAGGAGCAAGAAGAGATCGCGCAAGGCTGGACATTGATGGAGATCCAAAAGACTAGCGACGCTGCGGAAGCTGCGTGCTCCTTCCTTTCCAAGGAGGTCGACGTGGAAAGCAAATACTGGGAAGAGGCTGTCAAAGTACAGCAGAGCGGCTGGTCTCTCTGCAAGATGCCTCAAGAGAAGCACACTCTGGGCGTACGGTTTGGCTTTTCGGAGTGTAGGTTTAGTCAAACATACGCGTTACTCTCGAGTTGCTGGCTAACTCATGGATTTCACAGCGGCTCCAGAATTTAAAAACAATGGTCTAGCACCCATGCGAAGGGGAGATGACGGATCCGTGCAGCTAGACTGCGGCCGGTTAGGAGGAGTTTCAGAGAGAATCGTTGTCACTTATGAGAGGGACGGCGAAGTAGTTGGGCGCTCGTCTGTCCCAGCCCAAACGGACCAAAGCGCGCCCCTTGAGAAAAGGGTCCTGGAGGCTCGCAATACCCTTTTCTCTCAGGAACTGTGGCACGAATTAAACCGCGAGGCTCGCAACCTAGCAGCATACGATGTCCGGCCGGAGGGCTCAAGTCTCACCTGTAAAATAGACGAGTCGACCAAGTTAAGAATCGATCTTGTCACTCTGGATTCGACCCCATCGACCAACGACCCCTCGCCGGACCAAAATGTTGCCGAATCAATCTCTCAAGTCCTTCATCTCTTGCTGTGCTATTCCCATACACAAAACGAGCTGGGGAGAACCAGGCCAATTCCTCCACATCTACCTCGATCTCGGGGTCAGCAGATCTACCCACTTCTGCGACCCATCATTGCTCGTGCTTCGCACCTTCAGGGCGTCAAGTCTTCCTCAAAGTACATTGGAACCCTGGTCCAGTGTTTGAAAAACGCAGGCATCAATGCGTCGTTCAGCTTACACACACCACCACCATTCACACTCCAGTCACAACCAAACCTCGCCAACCAGCCATCTCCCCCCAACCTCCTCATCCGCCACTTGCTGAACTCTACCAACTTCACATTCAAGGTGACTCTGCTCCCAGATGTACCATTCACTATCCGCTCTAGAACAACCTTCTACCCCTTCACAAGCACCTACTTCTACGTCATCCTCCCCCCTTCATCCCCACTGGAGAGAATCTGCCCTCCATTCAGGGAAGGTTATCCAGACGTGAACACCCTATCAGAATACATCCGAACCGCCACCTGCCGCCTTCTCGCCGAGCAGTTCCTCGCCGAAATCCCAGACGGCCTATGGGTCCCCAACATCAAGGGCGACTCCCTCCGCCCCGCCGACAACGATGAGTCTGAACTACGATTCATCATCCTAGAGGATGAGCCCAGCTCCCCTACCCTCGTCGTCAAGAGCACCAAGGTCACCGGGCAAAGCTCTAATACAGAGAAATGGGAGTGGCGATCATCGAGCACCGAGAGCGAGAGTACATCGCTCGCCGATATTGTCAACCGTATAATTGGGAAGAAAGCTTCCTAGCTGGGGAGCAACATCGAGTCTGCACCCTTGTCGTGCTCCCGTGAGCTCGTTAGTATTAGACATTAAAAAGATTTCAACTATACCCCAAGACATGACACGATCAGTTTGTGCTTAGCGAATGTGATTTCTTCATTGAAACAAGGTGGGTATCTTGACTCTATAGCCAGCAGGCTTTTCCTTCATCAAACATGCCGTCGACTGTTGTCCTTTAGCCATCATTTCCCCATTTATACCTTTTCCGAATTGATTTGCGCTCTCCGAACGCCCAGTAACATTCTTGAATACAACATGACCTTTTCTTCCTGCCGTCCTAGTATCCCCCATGTCTGCCAATAGAACTGAGAGGGTATCATCGTGTACATAATCAGGAACAAAAACAAAGCAAGACGGGAAAACAAAGCATCTCGCTCACAGTATCGCAGCAGAATACTGAAGAGCCAGGCTCCCCGATCTTCGTCACATCTAACCCACAACTCCCAACACGATATTCTAACGCCTACCGTTGAAGAGGTACTTGAGCTCACTCGTACTAAGGCGGCTGATGCTCTTTCCGGCAGCTTCGTCTAACGCGGCCTCCACCATCTCCTTCTTTCTCTCCTGTAGTTCCATGATACGGTCCTCAACCGTTTCCTGTGTCAGGATGCGGTAAACTTTGACTTCTCTTTGCTGCCCAATGCGGTATGCTCGGTCGACTGCCTGCATTTCAATGTATGGGTTCCAGAAAGGATCCAAGATGATAACACGGGATGCATCCGCCAGGTTCAACCCAGCATTACCTGCTTTCAGAGACACGAGGATGACTTTGACATCCTCCTTTGTCCGGAACTCGTGAGCGGCGTTGTTACGCTCGTTCGCCGACATTCCGCCGTCGTATCTCACAGGCTTTTTGGCAAACCCTTCGTGTTTCATGCCGACCTCAACCAGATCAAGAAGCAGGGTCCATTGCGAGAAGATAATTGTCTTCTCGCCCGTCTCCTGGATAGCCGTCAAAAGCTTCATGCACTCCGCAACCTTTGCAGATGGAAGCCATGTCTTGTGCAAGTAGGCCATATACTTTTTATAGGCGACGTGGTTCTTGTTGGCCTCCATGCGGAGTTGTTTGAGCATTGAAGGCTTCACATCAGAAGCGCGATCTTTGCCTTTGCCCTTCGATCTCTTCTTCTTCTTTCTCTTCTGATCCTTCTTGTCCTCGTCTTCCTGCTTGGCCCCGAACAAGTCGTCCTTGAAGTCCTCATCATCTACAATAAAACCTTTAAGGTTTCCCTTTGCATCAACGTCATCGGCGTCTTCATCTTCGGTTTCATCATCAAGATCCGAATCAGAGACACCATCATCGGTTTCGTCAAGGTCCTCCTTGTTTTCGGCTTTCACATCGCTCGGCATGTGGATCTTCTGGAACGTCTGAAGGCTGAAACACTTGGCAGGCTCAAAGTCGCCTCGACACACGGGGCATCTAGCGGTAACGGTGGTCTCGTTGCCTTCCCGAATACTGTTCGTTGCCGCACTATCAACTATGCGGGCCAAACACTGTTGACAGCTGTCGTGACCACAAGGGACGAAGAACTGCGGTGTTTGAACAGCATCATAACATACGGGGCACTCGAATGCCTCAATTGCCTTGATACGCTCAACGGTTGCAGGGTCGAGTTTACGAACGATTTCTTCCACGTTAGCGGCCGACGTCGGGGCCGCGTCATCAACGTCGAGGTTCAAGTGAGGGTGGCAACAAGCCTGTCGCAAGCGGAGAAGCAAAACCAGGATGTGGGAGTAGTTCTTTCCAATGCTACCGTCTCGGAGGTACTTATTGAAAATCACCTGCGACTTCTCCTCCAGCTGCTTGTAAAAATCAAGCTCGTCTTGCGTTAGTTTGACATGGACCGTCTCCTCAGTTTTCGGTGGTAGTCGTAAGATTGGTCTACCATCTATTGTAGAGTTCTTTTTTCGACGTAGCATAATGGCCTTGAGCAAGACTCTCAGCCTTGACATCGCCTCGCTTGTTGGATCACCTCTTTTTCCAAACAAGGAACCAAAAGCCTAGAGTATACGAATTAGCTTTCTCTGCCTATGGGTTTATCCAAGCAATATCAAAACAAACCTGTCTGAATTTTTCCCAAGCGCAATATGGCTTGATTTTTAAGAATGCCAGTAGGGAGAACAACTCGTCCACACCATTCATCATTGGCGTACCAGAAAGACACCATCGATGAACTCCATTCAGTTTGTGACAAGCCTTTGCTGACTGGGTGTTCTTGTTCTTGATGCACTGGGCTTCATCCAATATGATTCGGTAAAACTTTGTCCTAGGATGAAGCAAAGGAAACTTTTTGATGATGTTTCTATCATTGTAATCAATTTGTCGTCGCTGTGCTTCGTACTCGTCTTTCAACTTCTCTAAACGCTTGCTCTCCGCAGCCAGAGTCATGTAGGTTGTAAGAACGACATCATATCTGGCCAGGTCATCCGAGGTTACGGATAGTTTCTTATTGCCATGGTGTACGAAAATCGACATCCGGTGGGAGGGCTGCACCTTGTCTCTGATCTCTTCCTCCCACTGCCGGAGAAGCGCGACAGGTCCAATAATGAGATTTGTCTATTCGATCGGAAAAATGTCAGCAAGTTCGTATCCTTCCCGGAGCCAAAGTTCTCCTACTCCTTCACGAATGATTGTTCCAAGTTACAAAGAGGGGGGATCTTACCTTGGGTCTTGTAGTCGGCGGACGGGCCAACATCAGTGAGATCATTGAGATAGTCTTGCCAAGGCCCATGTCATCAGCAAGAATACCTCCTTTGTTCGTCCCTTCCTCCATCTTCTTCAGCCATGTCAGGGCAATTTCTTGGTGGTGATACAGGGTGCCTTTAAGGCCTTCGGGTGTGCCAACACGATCACGCTCGGGGATCTCCATATCAGGCCGGATATTTTGTAGGAGATCATCCAGTTCTTGTTCTGTAACTCGCGTATCATGTACCATATCATTGATGTAACTCGTCAACCGCTCAGGCAAGGGATTTCCAAAAGTATCCAAATTATTCGTATAGTCGTAACCAGAGGTCAGGCTAATTATGTCACTCAAAGAGTTTCCTCGACCCTGAACCATCGGATGGCGGGGAATAGGCTGTTGAGAATATGACGAAGATTCGCCCACGATGATAGGGTTGTCGGCTCGGAGCCCGGCCGTGGATGCAGGGTGCCTCGCAGGGACTTGGTACTTTCCAGGCTGAGGAACCACTTCAGATTTATATGGTGACTGCTTCGGGGTCTGATCCCAGGCGGGGTCATATGCGCCTGGCATTGCACCAGACATTGGATTCATTGAGGAACCTGGCTCCCTTTTCACGGAGGGCCCATTCCGGCCTTGACTAGCAGAAGGCATTCCGTTCAGTCTCTGTGTATCCATGATTTTCTTAAAAGCGCTGTTCGGGTTGGATGAAGAGGCTTGGGAAGCTCGAGGGGCGGACTTTTGCGAAAGTTTTGGCGTAGAAGCAGCCCCTTCCCCTTGGCTTGACAACATGCGGGCAAACTCTTGATCGGCTTTCTCCTGCTCCAGGATTTGCTCTTGGCGTACTTGCTCGGCCATGAAGTCAGGGTCAATGTCGCTAATATTGCGATTTGTTAGCCATCAAATCTCATTGCCGTCATTGTGATCGTGGTCGAGACTTACCCAGTGAGATCGATCACTTCTAGGTTATCAAAATCAAAAGACGAACTAAAACTTGTGGCAGGGTGTGGAGATGGTGTCGTACGACGCGACTTGTTTGCCTGGTAAGAAGAGTTGTCTCGATCTCGTTTTCTAGATGGAAGAGAAATTTGCGACGCATTATGTTGGTCGCGTCTAGCCCCATGGGACGTAGATTCGGGGATGGATAGCGATGAATCAGCAGGAGAATAATGCTGGGGCTCTGGTGTTGCTTCAACATTTGGCGTCAGTACCGGGTAAAAAGGCAGCTGGTCGTAGGGATACTGGGGCACAGGTGACGAGAATGTGAATGACGACATCTTTATTGATGGTTGAGTATCAAAAAACTTGAGGGGGGTCAACTGAACAAGCACTGGCTCATCTGTGGTAAGGACGTGGCAAAGGACGGGGAATCTTTCTTTAAATAGGTAGGTGAGGCTGACGGCAGGCAGCTTGTGGGGAAAGGATCAAGAAATAATAGGCACCAAAGGGCAGGTTTAAGGAAAGGCGCCAGCTTTCAGGATGTCTGCCTGTGCTCACATGCACATCAGTGGCCCATCAGTCTCGGCTGAGTACAGGAGGCTTTGGCTGAGACAAGGGGGTTGACTGGATGCTGAGCAGCGACTGCACGGAGCTCACAAAATAAAAGAGCAAAGAAAGGTTTAGGACAAGGCAAGGTATAAGGAGAAAGCTAAGGTATGTGAAAAGGGAGAAAGGGCGGGAGCGCAAGGTTCATATCGAACTCGTACTGCGTTCGACATACGTGTAAAATCCACAACGCAAGAATCAGAGCACATACCTGGTCTCTGGTGGGAGGATGATCCGGCTTGGTGAGATCCGCCCGGCTTCTTCGCTTCTTCCAAAAGAGCCTTAAGCCTGGCAATCTCGGTCAAGATCTCCGCCCTCTCCTGCTCAACACCGTCATAAATCTCTTCCTCTATGGAGTCCAGCATGACCTGCTGGATGGTCAGGTCATCCGAAATAGTGTCCACATCCATGGTTGTTGATGCCCGAGATCACAACCCGCATAAGAACAGTGTGGCGCAACGCGAAACATTAGAAGGTGAGGCGAAGGGAAAACAAGCTGGTAGCCCTTGGTGCGAGGGTATACGCAGCCTTGAAACCAGTCGGCTGGGCGCGTCGGTAATGCAGAGCCCTTTGACTGGGGTGTTCACACAACACTCAGGATGGTGGGCTGGATGGCCTGCTGCAGATTGAGTCAAGCACGGCCGAAGAAGGGACGAGATTGGCCAACTGATGGCTGACGGCCAACACAACACGCACGGCGACTTTGCTGCCAGCCCAGCTTATGGTTGCATAAGGGCACACACAGCAGGCAGTGGGCGTGGACACAGGTTTCGACAGAGGCAACTGTGGCGACCCATGCGAGGTTACAGATTAGGTTGGATGAAGATGGTGAGCGAACCGCGTGTCTCGGTGGTCCGCCTTATTATGTTAGGGTATGATAAGCAAGTCCGCCAAACGACAGCCTAATGGCATAAATTCATAAAAAATACTGACCTTGCTCAAATTAGCAGGAGATCTTCGTATAAATTTATCCACTTTATATAACTGCTCTATTATCTTATTATACCCTTAACTTTTATATATCCCGCTAGTAAGAGCTGCTTTAATACCTATAAGAGGCTTAGTTACTAAGGAATTCTATCTTTTCTACTGCCTAATATATATTATTTAGGTATAAGAAGATAGGCTGCTAATTATATATTTTATATTATCTAAGGGCCTGTCTAACTTCTATATAAATCTTATAATCTTGCCTATAGTATTAAGGTAGTTCTTCTAATAATAACCTCTTCTAACCTTCCTCCTTAGGTTCTTAAGCAGCTAATTAAAGATGATAAAGATAAATATAAGTTCATATTAGTCCAGCTTATCTAGAATTCGCTTAAGAAAAGCCTAGATAATAAAGACTTTCCTATCTAATAGCTATATAAGCTGCTTTCCAAGGATAAGAAAGTAAAGGAGTAATATTAAAATAGCCTAGCTGAGGTAGCTAAATATAGACTATATCTTCTTTCCTTACTAGAGGAGTAATTTTATTATATATTCCGGATAATGAAGATAACCTTCTATTTGCTTTATAAGTAGCTAAGGATAAATATATCCCTAGTAGTAATAAGGTTCCAGATAATTAAATTTAAGGTTATAATATTCCTTTAGATCTATATATATAATAAGCTATAAAGGAATACAGCCTATAGGTTTAAGATTAGCTAACTAACTATATTCTCTATCTTCTATATAGTTATCAATCTAATAAGGTATCTTTATAGCTACTTTATTAAGCAGCTGGATTTAACTTACCTATTAGGTAAAGTTAAGTTAAACCCTAAGTTTATATAATTTAATAGAGTAATTAGAGCTATTAATAGAATATATATCCTAGTATTTATCCTACTTATAAACCAGAAGAGATTCTAGTTATATAAGAATAATATATTATAAAATATACTTATAGCTATCTCTTTTAATAGGCTATTTATATATATATTAGCAGGAGCTAAGGGCTCAGTTTATAACTTAATATTACTATTATATATAAACTCGAGATCTCTTAATATCCTATCGAATTACTTTCTTTTTATAGATACAGGCTTTAATCTAAGCTATAGAATAATAATACCCTTTAAGGGTATATATTACCTCTAAGACTTCAGTGATTATAATAGGCAGCTATAGAATACTAAGGAGCTTTTTAACTTTTATTATACCTAGTTATAGAGCCAGGTTAAAAGAACATTCAGTTATTATAAGTAGAAGTAGAAGATTATCTGATATAATATACCTAAGTATCTCTTTCCTAATTAGATAAAAATTATATATACTATAATAGATCTAAATAACTTTATTATATTAGATAGAATTCTACTATAGCAGACTTTAAGAAGAGAGATAGAAGTACTTATTATAGCTAATAGATAGGTATTTATAAATATAACTTAGTATACTAACTGTATTATCTCCAGCTACTCTATATAGCAGCTATAGAAACTTATTACAGATTAGACCTAGGACCAGTATAATTTATATATTAAGATAGAAAGTAAAGGAGAAGATAAAGATAAAGATTATAGGAGTTTTTCTAACTTAGAATAGCTGGTTTAGTAGAATAATTTATAAGTATATATATATTATAGTAGATAAAAAAGTAAATTAGAAGCTAGCTAGTAGATAGGAAAGTAAGACTATCTTGAATCCCACTCTACTTTAACTTCTAAATAGCTTTATAAACTATAGCTCTATAAGGGGTTAAACTTTATTTTAATATATAAATTCTTTAAATTTTCTAATAGTAAATTTAATTATAAAATTATATTCCTTAGCTCTGAATTTATCTATTCTACTATTTTTATTACTATTTACAGGTTATTCTTACTAAGAAATATAAAATAATCCTCTAGGGCTTCCTATAGCTTATTAGGTGAGACTGGAAGTATGGTTACTATATATAATTAAGGCTGTAGTATTTTAAATATAATTACTAACTGCTTAAAACTACTACCTAGATTAGCCTATAATACTTTCCTTTTCCTTATAAGAGGAATAGTATTATTCCTACTTAATACTAGTAAATCTTACTATAAAATTAGGGTGGTTTAAGAATATATATAAACCGGTATAGGTATCTGTAATAATAAAGCAGGCTATAATTCTTATAAGACCTCCTCTGTATTACTCTTCTTAACCTGCTCGGAATTAATAGTAATTTCCTTAGCTATTTCCTCCTCTTATATATTAATTATTTTATTATCAGCTAGCTTACTTACTAGGGAATTAGCTTCTTATATTATCTAGATTATCTCTTTGAAACTTATATTATCTCTAGCTTTAGTAATATAATAGCAGGCCGGGAGGTTATTTATAAAGATCTTATACTATTTATTAAAGTTAATATTATCTGAGATAGGGAGATTGCTCAGAATTATCTTATTTCTAACCTATAGCTATATCTACTTTACCTTCTGCTTATTATTATTAAATAATATTAATATTCCTATATCCTCCTTATACTCAGTATTACTCTAAGACTTAATATTATAGAATACTTACTAATAGTCTTAAAGATAATAATATTTAGATTCTATAGTTCCTATTAACTACCTACTATTATAAGGGAATTACTCTTTAAACTTCTTAATAAAGAAAGTAAGAACTATCTTTATAAACTAGTACTTACTACTATTAAGTCTCCTATTATATCGGGCTTCAAGGAGCAGCTCTAGTAACAGGAAGACTTTCTTATCGGACTAATAGACTTAAGATATATAAGATTAGGAGGAGATTTCGCTGCTCTATAATATACTAGTTATCCGGGGGGCTCGAGGTATATTATTAGGTTAGGAGGTAGCTGTATTAAATACTAAAAATACTAAAAATACTATTATTATAAGGCCTTATCGAAATAAATACTTAAAGGCAGTAAGTCAGGCTGATAAAAGGGGTAGGGATTTATAAGAGTCAGGTTATATAGACCTATTGATAATATATAGGTACTTCCCCACCTGTTTTGGTAGCCAGGGTACCTGTTAGGTATCGCCTATACGACTTAGGCGGACTTGCTTATCACACCCTTAATCGGAAAGAGCGACCATTGATCTTGTCCAGGGGTGCGGGTAGCACAGCCCGTAGGAACGCCCTTTGTAGTGGGGTCCCCTCTGTAGTCTGCTGCCTCTGGGTGCCTCCCTCCATTGACTGCTTGACTGCGCAGAGCCGCCATGCGTCCATCCCCGCCCACTGGGAGGGCGACAACAGGGCCTGGAGAGGCATCCGCCCACTGCGCCCGGTACTGCGGGAGCGCTGGCAGGGGAGCCGTCCCACAGTGACACCCCCCACCTTTAAGCCCTGCCAAAGTACCGCCCGTGAATGGGTGCAGCTCTCCACAGCACACCCGTTCACGACAGATCCATTCGCCATTGGCTGCCTGATGAATACACCGATTGCAAAGAAAGCAATGTCTCGAGGTACTCGCGGGTAATATTGATGCGAAAAGGCAATTTGTCGATATTCTTCGGGTCTAGCCCCTGCCAACATGGCACAGCTAGGCTATGGCGCTGCACCCACCAACTCAGGCATATGAACCGACCGAAAGACTATCAATATACGAGGTTCCGTTCAGCCACCAGCAAGTCGCAGAGCATTAATCAAAAAGCTAAAATCACGCCGGGGGTTTTGCCAAAAGGCAAATGGCTTGGAACAACAAGCCTAATGCGGGCCCATCACATGGAGCATGCCTACATAGATCCATTGACGCAAGAGCGTAGCAGCGATCCTCTATTGTGCATGTAGTAATGTGACAAGTATGTGCAGAGCAAAATTTCCGCTATGCGGTAAATATCACGGCTGTAAGTAAGGCGTCCAAAGGTGAGGCTGCCGCAAGAGCGATATCGCTTGTCAGCTGAGTACACAACCCTGTTTTTTTTTTACAAATTATACCCTTTGTAAGTTGGCCATGATGGACAATGCACGCCATCCACTGGTAGAAAGATGGCACTTAATTATATACTCCAGATATATGATAGACAGATCCGTTCCAGAAACTCCATGCTGATATAATACCCAGTGAGCCTGACAAAAAGAAACAAAAAGATGAGGGTCCAAACAACTCCCAAGATTAACCATATGCGGGGAATCGAGAAAACCAAACAGAGAAGGAGGAAGGAAGAGAAGGAGGCAGTCACGGCAGTCTAGCCAGATCCCGTAATTTTATGCCAGATACTTCCCACCTTGTGCTTTATCCAGGACCATAGCCCGTGCCCGTCAGAGACCTCCTCGTCCTCATCATCCTTGTCTCCACCATCATCATGCGACGGCTTGTCGCCTCCTCCCTCCCCGGGATGATCTGGCTTCTTCGAATCCTCGTTGCTGCCTGACGCCGTTGTGGTTGTTGGCTGTGGCTTCGCCGAGGTTGTTGGCTTCTCAGGAGCCTTGGTGGTCGTGACTGGGTCCTGGGGCACCTTGGGCGTGTCCTCGGGCT